AACATACATCATGGGAGTAGAAAGGTGTGGAAGTGCTCTTCAAAACTTTAAAGATCCAGACTGCTTCTTGTGAAGTCCACCGCTTCAGAACGAATCTTGTCCTGCTTGCCAGAACAAGAGCAGGACAGTGTTGGGGATTTGTCACCAGAACCCTGCCAGACTTTTAGCAGCAGGCTGTTTTCCGCCTCCTCATCTCATTCCTTCATTCAACTTCCGTGCCTGGAGAGAGAGGAAGAACAACAGGAATGGACACAGTCTGTAGAACATCATGTGAAACAATTTAGGTCACCGCAGATTCTTTTAACTAGCTGCCCGCTGCTTAAAGGGAACGGACGACTTGGTACATACATCTCTTGGCCTTCCAGGACTGGTGCTGATATCAGCCATACATGACAAAAACAAGCCACCACACATCCTCTTGGTACACAGAGTAAGACTGAAGTATCTTGCTTCCAACCCATATTAGGTCTGGTCCAGGCAATTCTTTAAGAATTCTCCTGCTGCATATTTATGCATTGCATGTATATCTCCTTGTTCTACCAAGAAGCTCAATGTAATGTCCATGGGCTTCCTCCCTTGCTTTAACCTTCCAATAGCAAGCTTATGAAGTTCGTTAGGCTGAGCGTGTACAACGAGGCTAAAAGACAATGAACAGCCTGAGCTTACCTGGTGAGATTTGTGGCTCAGCATGGATTTGAACTGGAATGTCTCCAAAACCTATGTGATTCTATAACCACTACATGAAAACCTGCTGTCTTATGCATACGGGAGAAAGGTCTAAGTAAGGCAGCATGGTCCCACTGAAATAAATATGGCTTAAATTATATATTGATCATTAGTATTTGTACTGTATGTTGCTGATAAAACAATCACCACCACCACCATCATCAAGTAAGTGCCATCAGGTCAGTTCTGACTTATAGTGACCCTTTCCAGGGTTTTCTAGAGTAGAGGATTCAACAGGGGTCTAGTATTCCCTTCTTCATGGGGCATCCTGGAACAATGCAGCTTGCCCAAGGTCATACAGGCTGCCTTCTCCCCCCCCCCCCTCCAAGAGGCATGCTGAAGAATTGAACTTCCAATCTTCGGCTCTGCTGAGCATTCCAGCTAGCAGGCACTGCATATCTATTTTAAAATAAACAGAACAAAAACACAGGATCTTAAAAAACACCATAAAAGCACAGATATAGACCTCAAAACCAACATGATATAAATACAATGCAAAGCCAAATCAATGAAGTATAGTAACAATGAGATAAAACTAGCTGAGCAGGAACGCACTGGGTAAACCCATCAACAAGTAGCTGATACTAAATTAGTAAAGATCTAAAAGGCCTGGGACAATAATAGGGTTGGATGAAAATTACAGGAACATCAGCCCCTTCAGAGGGGAGTGTGACACTGGCAATTTCCAGACAAATAGGTGCAAGGATTTTTTGTGTGTGTGTTGCCTGCAATTAAATTTTGATTATTATTTTTTAAAAGGAACTTCTGATAATGTTATTCTTTCTTGGCAGACTTGAAAGAAATGTACAGGTATCTTTTTTTCTCTCTCTCTCTTTCGGAGGACTGGTTCATGGAATGATAGACTCGTAGAGCTGGTCATCAGGTCTAGCTCCTTGCAGAAGCTGGAAATCCACAGCTGAAGCATCTCTGACAAAACGGCCATCTAAAAACCTGCCAGGAAAGAGAACTCACCCCCTTCAGAGGCAGTCCAGTTGTCAAGTGGCTCTTACAGTCAAGACGTTCTTCCTAACCTTGAGTTGAAATCTCCCTTCCTGTAATCCACCTCTTCAGGAGCTGCAGAATTTAAGCTTTCTGCCTTTTCCTCACACCAGCCCTTCCGATTTGTGAGATCGGTTGTCATATTGCTTCTCAAGTCTTCTCCAGGCTAAATGTGCCCAGATCCCTCAGCTAAGATCCATAGGGCCTGGTTCCCAGGCCTTTATAGGTCTCTCTCCTCTGGACACATACCAGTGAGCTGTGCTTCTTAGACTACAGTAAGGACCCTATATCTCCACAGAGTATCAGTTCCCTCCCACAGATACTGGAAAATATGGATTAGAGTGAACACTATTTTAATGGGGAACACTATACATAGCATGATCTGTCTCCCTCTAGTAGCCAGTTTTGGTAACTTCACATTGAGAAATATATATTTCTGTGATTTTTCTTTTACTGTTTTTAATATTTTCAGACCATGGATATGTGAATCAGCAGATACCTGATCTTGTGGATAAGGGAGTTCTTCTGTATATTGCCCAGAAGGTAAGGACTCTTCAACACAGAATGGACTGCTGCTATTAACTTCCCTTTACTTGGTCTCTGTACTTCTGACCAAGGGGATTAATCATCATCATCATCATGTGCTGTCAAGTCAGTTCTAACTTATGGTGACCCTTCGCAGTGTTTTCTAGGCAGACAGAATATACAGCAGTGGTTTAACATTCTCTTGTTCTGTGGGTGCCCTGGGACTGCGCAGCTTGCCCAAGGCCACATAGGTTGGCTCTGTTTCACAAGATGCACAGTGGGGGAATCGAACTCCCACCTTCTGGCTCCACAGCCAGAGACCTAAAGCATGGAGCTATACAGCCACCTAAATTGCAGAGATGGATGCAGAATTGTTTGTCCAGGAGCAACCTTTCCATTTTGCAGGGTATACAAAAGTTTATCCCCCATTGACTCCAACCCCCGTGCTGGCTGGGAATTCTGGGAACTGTAGTTCAAGAAATAAACTTTTGCAACCCCCCTTCCCCCACCAATGGCTACTTTTTGTCCTGGTTTGGGATGAGAGTCGGAAATGAATTGTTTCCAAGTCTTTATCCCTTTTCAGAAAGGGGCTGGGGGGAGGAAAGAAGGAAGGAAATAGAGATAGAGAAGA